GCTTGTAGGCGTGCAGAGAGAAAATGGAAAAAGGATCAACTTCATGTCTCCTTAGAAATTCTTCGTGCTTGCCTCTCCGACTACCAGACGGCAGTCAAAGCCAACACAGAGTATATTTCTCTGTTCATCTCCAAAAACAGCCACAAACCTCAGGTTCTTTTTAATGTCCTCGACTCGATCATTAATCCTTGTGATGCTTCTCCAATTGTGCCATCGACTACTCTCTGCGATACATTTCTTACATTTTTTATCGAAAAAGTATCTGCTCTTAGGCTAGCCTATACTAGTGCTACCCCAGATCCTGCTCCCTTTCTGTGCCCTGCTGCCCTCGACCACTTTGAGCCTGTATCCCTCTCTTCTCTCTCTTGGATGTAGTCAAGCACCTGCGGCCGACAAACTGCACTTCAGACAGCATTCCCTCTCGCTTCCTTAGAGATGTTTTCGAATCAGTTGGAGCAAGTGTTTTATTGCTTGTAAACACCTCTCTTAGCTCAGGATGTGTCCCAGCTGCCTTCAAACATGCCGTGGTCCAGCCACTACTTAAAAAGACAAATCTCGATCCCTCCATTCTCGCAAATTTCAGGCCCATCTCCCAGCTACCTTTTTTATCTAAAGCCCTGGAGCGAGTAGTCTACGCCCAGCTGCAGTCATTTTTAACCATGAATGGTATCCATGAAAAATGTCAGTCTGGCTTTAAACCCATGCACAGCACTGAAACAGCCCTTTGAAGAGTTTAATGATCTGCTCTTAGCCGCAGACTCAGGCAGCCCAGCTGTCCTGGTGCTGTTGGACCTGACAGCTGCCTTTGACACTGTGGACAATAGCATCCTGTTGTCACGGCTTGAACAGTCCGCAGGCATCACAGGCTCTGCCCTTGCATGGTTCAGGTCCTACCTGACAGACCGTAGCTTCTCAGTGCAGTTAGGTGTCTTCTCCTCTGCCAAAGCCCCTCTTACCTGTGGGGTTCCCCAAGGCTCGATTCTGGGCCCCATCCTTTTTCTATTGTACATACTGCCCCTAGGCTCAATTCTCACTAAACATAATATCCCCTTCCATTGTTACGCTGATGATGTACAGATCTATCTGCCTCTCAATCAAAATGCCAACTCACTACAGCAGCTGAAGGACTGCTTAATGGAGATCAAATCCTGGCTGAGCCAAAACTTCCTCACCCTCCGGTTGATATTCTGGGCTCCCTCAATGAAAACATCCTCCCCTCTGTCATGAACCTTGGAGTGACCTTCAACAGCGCCTTTAAATTTGATAAGCAGGTCAGCACTGTAGTCAAGACCTGCTTTTTCAAAATACCACTATTGGCTAAGACCAAATCGTTTTTATATTTTAAAGACCTAGAAAGGGTTATTAACGCCTTTGTTACCTCGAGACTGGATTACTGCAACGCTCTGTATGTGGGTATGGACCAGGCCTCAATTAGACGCCTCCAGCTAGTTCAGAATGCAGCTGCACGTCTTCTCACTGGTCATAAAAAGCGTGACCACATCACCCCAATTCTGGCTTCATTGCACTGGCTTCCAGTTCGGTTCAGAATAGATTTTAAACTCCTTTTATTTGTTTTCAAAGCCCTAAATGGGCTGGCTCCGGCCTATGTAGCCGAACTCCTCCATCGCTACACCCCAGGCAGAGCCTTAAGGTCGGCTGATCAGCTGCTGTTGGTAGTGCCTAAGACCAGGCTTAAAACCCGAGGGCACCGAGCCTTCGCAGCAGCTGGCCCCAGGCTCTGGAACACTCTGCCCCTCCATGTGAGGTCCAGACCCTGGGGGTTTTAAATCTACACTAAAGACTCACTGTTTCTCTCTGGCTTTTGTTTAATTATCTATCTATTTATTCATTTATTTATTCATTTATTTATTTATTTATTTATTTATTTATTTATTTATTTATTTATTTATTTATTTATTTATTTATTTATTTATTTATTTATTTATTTATTTATTTATTTATTTATTTATTTATTTATTTATTTATTTATTTATTTATTTATTTATTTATTTATTTATTTATTTATTTATTTATTTATTTATTTATTTATTTATTTATTTATTTATTCATTCATTTAGTTCTTTATGTTAATATTTATAACATAACATAGGATTTCATAAAGTATTTTTTAAATAGTTTATACATTATTCGAATATAGGATTGCTTAAAATATAGTCTAAAATATATATATTTTTTCCCTTTAGACCCTTGGTCTATGGCCTTGTAGAGGGTAACGGTCCCCTCTGCTGGTCTATGGCCTTGTAGAGGGTAACGGTCCCCTCTGCTGGTCTATGGCCTTGTAGAGGGTAACGGTCCCCTCTGCTGGTCTATGGCCTTGTAGAGGGTAACGGGGTACAGAGTCGCTTAGATAAGCGGGGGAGTGCATCTGACGAAGAGATAGGTTGTTGTGCTCCCTCTCTCTGTTTCTTATATATATCTATAGAACTGCTCGGGTCTTGATAGATTGAGTGGGGAAGTTGATGAGATCTTTCTAGAGGGTTATCAAGAATGACTTTTATCCAATGACCTTTCCCCTCTCTGTCTGTGTCTGTGTATTCTCTTGTTCCGATTAACCCAGCCAAATCTTTGTTCTTGTTTTGTATCTATCTCTACGCCGGGATCCGGAGTCGAGGCTGATCCTCTTGCTGTAGTCCTGTGTCTTGGATCCTCTATCCTGAGTTCTGGATTAAGTGGTGGACTTCGGGTCGTGGCTGAACCTTTTCTCTGCGGTCCTGCCTTGGGTCTCGTCATGCTGCTTCCCTGATGGCTTCCACAGGATTGTAGCTGACATCCTCGTGGATTCATCTTCTTATTACAGACACATGCATTTCCTAACATTCGGTCTATATGCTGTCAAATGTAGAGGGTCTGAGAGACAGATGGTCTAAGGACAGAGGGTCTGAGGACAGAGAGTCTAAGGACAGAGGGTCTAAGGACAGAGGCTCTAAGGACAGAGGGTCTAAGGACAGAGGGTGTCGTTTTTCTCATACTGATATTCTGAACAATCTGTGCTGTTGTATTTGCTGTAAAGTGTCTCTACTGTAGGCTATTTTTATTATATGTTCAGCACTTTGGCTCCACCAAACATCCTTTATAAATGTGCTATATAAATAAAACTTGATTTGATTTGATTTATATCCTGTACTTCTATGTACTGGATATATCCTGTACTTATATGTACTGGATATATCCTGTACTTATATCCTGTACTTATATGTACTGGTTATATCCTGTACTTATATGACTCCTATCCACTCCCACATCCACACTCTGCAGCTTTGGGGACAGAGCCTTCTCAGTGGCAGCTCCTAGGCTCTGGAACCCCCTCCCCCAAGATCTCCGTGACTCTGAGTCCTTCACAGTCTTTCAGTCCCGCCTCAAAACACATCTTTTCAACTCTGTCTACCCATAAGCCCCCCCCCCCGCTCTACCCATAAGCCCCCCCCCCCCTCTCTACCCATAAGCCCCCCCCCCTCTCTACCCATAATCCCCCCCCCCCCTCTCAATCAACTTCCTCTTGACTGCCTTTTTATTTTTTACTTACTTGTTTGCCTGTCCTTGTTTGTCTTGTTTATTATTATTATTATGATATTTACTGGTTATATCCTGTATTTATATCCAGTACTTATATCCTGTACTTATATGTACTGGTTATATCCTGTACTTATATCCTGTACTTATATGTACTGGTTATATCCTGTACTTATATCCTGTACTTATATGTACTGGTTATATCCTGTACTTATATCCAGTACTTATATGTACTGGTTATATCCTGTACTTATATCCTGTACTTATATCCTGTACTTATATGTACTGGTTATATCCTGTACTTATATCCTGTACTTATATGTACTGGTTATATCCTGTACTTATATCCTGTACTTATATCCAGTACTTATATCTGTCCTTATATCCTGTACTTATATCCTCTACTTATATCCAGTACTTATATGTACTGGTTATATCCTGTACTTATATCCAGTACTTATATCCTGTACTTATATGTACTGGTTATATCCTGTACTTATATCCTGTACTTATATGTACTGGTTATATCCTGTACTTATATCCTGTACTTATATGTACTGGTTATATCCTGTACTTATATCCAGTACTTATATCTGTCCTTATATCCTGTACTTATATCCTGTACTTATATGTACTGGTTATATCCTGTACTTATATGTACTGGTTATATCCTGTACTTATATCCAGTACTTATATCTGTCCTTATATCCTGTACTTATATCCTGTACTTATATGTACTGGTTATATCCTGTACTTATATCTGACCTTATATCCTGTACTTATACAGAATATAACCTGGATCATTTATTTTCTTTACAGAAATAAATACTTTATGATAATAATGTTATTATTATTCTATTATTGCAGTGAGCAGCGCCCCCTGCTGGGGACTCTTATACACACTGCAGATTCCCTGTGTGTGCGTGAGAGAGGGGTTTGTGTGTGAGGACTCGGAGTGTGTGTGAGAGGAGTGTGTAGATGTTATTGTTGTTGTTCGGATGACTAGGTGACGTCAAATGTTCCTTAGATGAAAATTTAAGATCCAAAAATCATGAATCCTTGAAGTTTTCACGACACCTCGCGACACTTGGCGGCAGGGTTTTCGGTTCTCAGGCTGCCAGCCAATCCGATTCCATGCTCCGATCAGGCTGCGCCCTACATCAGCCAATCACAGCGGAGAACGTCCGGCGCTCCGCAGCCTGCCGCAGCTCCGTCAGCACTACCGCGTCTACGTCAGCGCTGCCGCTTCCCCTTCACTCTGTTGGGTCAGCGCCACGCCGCTGCAGCGGTGCTGCCGCCAGACTGCCGCGTCTCCGTCAGCGCTGCCGCGTCTCCCCGGCAGAGAGACCGAGGAGCGGCGGAGACACCAGGAGAACCGGAGGAGAACCGGAGGAGAACCGGAGGAGAACCGGAGGAGAACCGGAGGAGAACCGGAGGAGAACCGGAGGAGAACCGGAGGAGAACCGGAAGAGAACCGGAGGAGAACCGGAGGATAGAGAGAGGAGAGAGAGAGGAGAACCGGAGGATAGAGAGAGGATAGAGAGAGGAGAGAGACAGGAGAACCGGAGGAGAACCGGAGGAAAGAGAGAGAAGCGGCACTGACCCTCTAACGTGAGTGGTCCTAAACATGAAGTGTGTGTGTGTGTGTGTGTGTGTGTGTGTGTGTGTGTGTGTGTGTGTGTGTGTGTGCGTCCTCATTATTAACAGGACTTTATTTAACAGTTTTCTGGATTAAATATGAATTTAATTCAATTTTTAAAATAATTTTTACTGTTTTTCTTTCATTTTGCTGAGTTTTATTTTGAAGGGCAGTCCACCTACTTCCGTTCATCGCATCCATTTAATCCTTCCCACAATGCTTTGTGTCCCCGTCCGCTGCTTCCTGTTTATTGTGATCCGGTCCCGGTTTACCGTTTATGTTCCTCCGCCGAGAGCCCGGTGAGTAGCCCCGTTAGACCCGGCGGTCCCCCCTGTAACCCCCCGGTAACCCTCCGGTAATATCCCCGGTAGCTCTGCTGTTTGTCTCTTATTCTGACAGCTGAGCCGCATCACCGCTCAGAAAGTAGTTCTGTAACCCCGCTCTGCGCGCGCCCAGAAAGAGGCTTTTATCAAAGATTGAAAACATTTAAACACATTTAGAATAAAGGGCGGATGTTAGAATCAGTCTCGCGCCATTACAGTGTGATACTAACACCTGAAGAGGTGAGCGCGAGGAGGCGGCAGTAGGGATGGAGGCTGCCGCGCTGCGCGGGGTGATAGGCGGCAGGGAGGCGAACAGAGCGTCAGAGAGCGGCAGGGGGAGAACAGAGCATCTCTGATATTATAGATGTATTTATATGAATCTGATGTTAATGTGAATCAGTCGCTGCTCGGTTTACCCGCCGCTTCACAGAGCGGAGCGGCGGGGCGGTGCGGCGGCTCTCATCACTCAGTGTCGCAGAGCAGCCTCTCTGTGTTGTATCAGATTTATAACCAGCTCTATAATCAGCAGATCTATAACCTGATCTATAACTAGCTCTATGATCAGTATAATATAATCCCACCCCTTCGCCTATCACGTACAATGTGTTGGAGCACTAGCCAATAGGAGAGCTAGTGTTCCAGAGTGATGTCACCATGTTCCAGAGGAGTCCAATGAGGCGTCTGAATAACTGTTGATGATGATATTAAAACGTTGACTGTAGTGATGAAGGATTCATGTAATGATAATACTGAAGACCCCCCAGGGCTCCCATGGCCTCGTCAGAACACTAATGAACACTCCTCTCTCTCAGGAGCCGCTCCCATGGACTCGGAGACGGACCTGAGTGTGTCGGAGGACGCTCTGGGGGGGGCAGACTTCATCACGGTGGAGTTGGACACGCAGCCCATTGAGTACGTGGTGAAGTGGGCGGAGGTCGGGTCGCGCTTCACGATCTCCTGCGTGAAGAGAGACCCTGACGACCCCCCCGAGATCAGCGAGGACGCCTTCTTTGCCCCCTACGAAGAGGTGAGAAACATCATGTGATCAACTGTAGAGTCATGTGATCTACTAGAGCGTCATGTGATCAACTGTAGAGTCATGTGATCAACTGTAGAGTCATGTGATCTACTGCAGAGTCATGTGATCTACTGTAGAGTCATGTGATCAACTGTAGAGTCATGTGATCAACTGTAGAGTCATGTGATCTACTGCAGAGTCATGTCATCAACTGTAGAGTCATGTGATCTACTGCAGAGTCATGTGATCTACTGTAGAGTCATGTGATCAACTGTAGAGTCATGTGATCTACTGCAGAGTCATGTGATCTACTGTAGAGTCATGTGATCTACTGTAGAGTCATGTGATCAACTGTAGAGTCATGTGATCTACTGCAGAGTCATGTGATCTACTGCAGAGTCATGTGATCTACTGCAGAGTCATGTGATCAACTGTAGAGTCATGTGATCTACTGTAGAGTCATGTGATCTACTGTAGAGTCATGTGATCTACTGCAGAGTCATGTGATCTACTGTAGAGTCATGTGATCTACTGCAGAGTCATGTGATCTACTGTAGAGTCATGTGATCTACTGCAGAGTCATGTGATCTACTGTAGAGTCATGTGATCTACTGCAGAGTCATGTGATCTACTGCAGAGTCATGTGATCTACTGCAGAGTCATGTGATCTACTGTAGAGTCATGTGATCTACTGCAGAGTCATGTGATCTACTGCAGAGTCATGTGATCTACTGCAGAGTCATGTGATCTACTGCAGAGTCATGTGATCTACTGCAGAGTCATGTGATCTACTGCAGAGTCATGTGATCTACTGTAGAGTTCATGTGATCTACTGCAGAGTCATGTGATCTACTGCAGAGTCATGTGATCTACTGCAGAGTCATGTGATCTACTGCAGAGTCATGTGATCAACTAGTTCAGTGATTCTCAAACTTTTTTCAATAATGTTCCCCCTTTGAAAAAAAGATTCAGCCACGTACCCCCTGATCAGCGCAAACACAATTTGTTAAGGAACACATGTCTATATAAAGAGGTACAGCACAGCAACAACCTTGTAACTGAGAAACACTTAAATGCTACATTTCAAATGTTTACAATCCATCACTAAATTCATGGCAAACCAATTTCAACATCAAGCAACAACACAGAGACGACATTAGCTGCATTGAACTGATCTTCTTAATAAGTTGTATGTAGTGAAACGTGGGCTTGAGCTTCACTGAGAGCTTTGTCATTCTGACAGGGAGGCTAACTGCAGCTATTACACTTCACCTTTTGAAATATGTGTAACTGTTCATATAAAACCCACACGGCTCAAACTTCCTTACTTTTCCTAAAATTGGTTTATTTATTTATTTAGGGGCGTGGGGAAGAGAAACAAATATATGAGCATTTTATGAGCATGGGATTTTGACCCCTCATTGAACACATGCATAATGCTGCGCTATACTTGTGGCCACACGCCGTTGCCAAGCAACGCTTATTGTTTAGGTCCTTTGAAAAGCAGGCAGTCAAATCATTAACTAGAACTAGCTAGATCTGATAGATGTGGACATCAACGCGAGTGAAGTCTAACCGGGAGAGAGATCAGATCAGCTGCTGCTGACGGAGAACACGCAGCTCTGCATGATCACAGCTCCGCCGCTGTGACGGACCGTTGAGAGGAGCACAATACACTTAGAGTTAGACCTAACACACTTAGCTTATTCATCTACTCTGGAACTAGCTAAACTAGTTATATATATATATGTATTCTTTACTGTCGGGTCACTCATTACAGGTTCAGCGAGCTGCACGAGACTGACGGGCTGTCAGGAGAGGGAGAGGAAAAGAGAGCACCCCGTTTATTGTTCCCATGTTATTATCCAGCGTTTAAACCTTTGAATAAAGTAGTTCATCTAATATTAGCAGTTTGTTTAAATGCATTACTTATGTTGTTTTTTCATTAACATAAAATAAATCTCACGTACCCCCTGCAGTACTCCAACGTACCCCTAGGGGTCCGCGTACACCCATTTGAGAACCACAGTACAAGAGAGTCATGTGATCAACTGTAGAGTCATGTGATCTACTAGAGAGTCATGTGATCTACTAGAGAGTCATGTGATCAACTGTAGAGTCATGTGATCTACTAGAGAGTCATGTGATCAACTGTAGAGTCATGTGATCAACTGTAGAGTCATGTGATCAACTGTAGAGTCATGTGATCAACTGTAGTCATGTGATCTACTAGAGTCATGTGATCTACTGTAGAGTCATGTGATCAACTGTAGAGTCATGTGATCTACTGTAGAGTCATGTGATCAACTGTAGAGTCATGTGATCTACTAGAGAGTCATGCGATCAACTGTAGTCATATGATCAACTGTAGAGTCATGTGATCTACTAGAGTCATGTGATCTACTGCAGAGTCATGTGATCTACGAGTCATGTGATCTACTGTAGAGTCATGTGATCAACTGTAGAGTCATGTGATCTACTAGAGTCATGTGATCTACTGTAGAGTCATGTGATCAACTGTATAGTCATGTGATCTACTAGAGAGTCATATGATCTACTGTAGAGTCATGTGATCTACTGCAGAGTCATGTGATCTACTGCAGAGTCATGTGATCTACTGTAGAGTCATGTGATCAACTGTAAAGTCATGTGATCAACTGTAGAGTCATATGATCAACTGTAGAGTCATGTGATCTACTAGAGTCATGTGATCTACCGTAGAGTCATGTGATCTACTGCAGTCATGTGATCAACTGCAGAGTCATGTGATCTACTGTAGAGTCATGTGATCTACTGTAGAGTCATGTGATCTACTGCAGAGTCATGTGATCTACTGTAGAGTCATGTGATCTACTGCAGAGTCATGTGATCTACTGCAGAGTCATGTGATCTACTGTAGAGTCATGTGATCTACTGCAGAGTCATGTGATCTACTGTATAGTCATGTGATCTACTGTAGAGTCATGTGATCTACTGTAGAGTCATGTGATCAACTGTAGAGTCATGTGATCTACTGCAGAGTCATGTGATCAACTGTAGAGTCATGTGATCAACTGTAGAGTCATGTGATCAACTGTAGAGTCATGTGATCAACTGTAGAGTCATGTGATCTACTGCAGAGTCATGTGATCTACTGCAGAGTCATGTGATCAACTGTAGAGTCATGTGATCAACTGTAGAGTCATGTGATCAACTGTAGAGTCATGTGATCTACTGCAGAGTCATGTGATCTACTAGAGAGTCATGTGGTCTACTGCAGAGTCATGTGTTACCCTCTGACTGGTTACCCTCCGATTGGTTACCCTCCGATTGGTTACCCTCCGATTGGTTACCCTCTGATTGGTTACCCTCTGACTTGTTACCCTCTGATTGGTTACCTTCTAACATCTGACACTATTATGGTTTGTTAGGTCTATCCGTGCGAGGTGACGGAGCAGAGCGTGGAGATCAAGACGGACTCTGACGAGGAGGAGGAGGAGGAGGAGGAGGAGGAGGAAGAGCAGGAGGAGCAGGCGGGGGTCAGCCAGCTGCAAGAGGAGGAGGAGGATGAAGAGGAAGAGGAGGAGGAGGAGGAAGAGCGTCAGTACCGCTGCAGCTTCTGTGGGAAGAGCTACAGCCACGCCTCCAGTCTGTACCGACACCAGCAGACCCACAGCAAGGGGGCGGCGCCCATCAAGAGGGAGCCCCCCCACCAGGAGGCGCAGTACTCCTGCCCACACTGCGGCATGACCTTCAAGGGGAGCAGGTACCCCCATCTACCCTTATCTCTTTTCATTTTAGAATTAATTAATTTGTTTACATTTAAATTAATAACTATTATTATTTATTTTAGTTTTTATTTATTTTCTGCAGTTTTTATTTAATGTTATTAATACTTTCTGTTTTGATTAATTATTTCATTTATCTCTTTTAATTTTTGAATTAATCCCATTAAATGCGTTATTTAAATTAATAACTATTATTAATACTTTCATTTTTTGTATTCATTGATTAACGATTGATCTAAGATTTTATTACATTTTTAATTTGAGATGCATTTTTAATAATGATTAATGTTCAGACGCCTGAAGCTTCTAAGCTCAGTTTGATGCTGTGTGCAGGATGCTGGGCAGCCACCTGCGGCTGCACGGGAAGCGGCGCATCCACCCGTGCAACATCTGCGGGAAGGAGTTCAACCACAGCTCCAGCCTGTCGCGCCACCGCCTCGTCCACAAGAAGGGGAAGGGGCTCCCGAAAGAAGACATGGCCGCCCAGCGTCACCCCCAGAAGGCAGGAGGCCGGAGACAGAAGAGCCGCCGGGCCGTCGCTCAGAGTCCGCCCGGCGACACCTTCTACGCCTGCCCGCAGTGTGACATGAGCTTCAGGACGTCCACGCTCCTCTCCAAACACCAGGTAATATATATATACGATATATACTTATACACGCAGCTCTCCAAACACCAGGTAATATATATATACTATATACTTATACACGCAGCTCTCCAAACACCAGGTAATATATATATATACCAGTGTTGTAGTCAAGTCACCACTCTTCGAGTCCGAGTCACCCAAGAAGAGTCAGAGTCGGGTCCGAGTCATCATTACCTGTGTTCAAGTCCGAGTCGAGTCCGAGTCATCATTACCTGTGTCCGAGTCGAGTCCGTGTCACCCAAGAAGAGTCCGAGTCGAGTCCGAGTCACCCAAGAAGAGTCCGAGTCGAGTCCGAGTCATCATTACCTGTGTTCAAGTCCGAGTCGAGTCCGAGTCATCATTACCTGTGTCCGAGTCGAGTCCGTGTCACCCAAGAAGAGTCCGAGTCGAGTCCGTGTCACCCAAGAAGAGTCCGAGTCGAGTCCGAGTCACCCAAGAAGAGTCCGAGTCGAGTCCGAGTCATCATTACCTGTGTCCGAGTCGAGTCCGAGTCATTTTTACCTGTGTCCGAGTCGAGTCCGAGTCACCCAAGAAGAGTCCGAGTCGAGTCCGAGTCATCATTACCTGTGTCCGAGTCGAGTCCGAGTCACCCAAGAAGAGTCCGAGTCGAGTCCGAGTCATCATTACCTGTGTTCGAGTCCGAGTCGAGTCCGAGTCATCATAACCTGTGTTCGAGTCCGAGTCACCCAAGAAGAGTCCGAGTCGAGTCCGAGTCACTCAAGAAGAGTCCGAGTCGAGTCCGAGTCATCATTACCTGTGTTCAAGTCCGAGTCAAGTCCGAGTCACTCTCGAGTCACCACTCTTCGAGTCCGAGTCGAGTCCGAGTTACCCAAGAAGAGTTCGAGTCCGAGTCGAGTCCGAGTCACAAGTCTCCATGTATTAATCTTCGTGGATATATGTGTTGAAATGTAGCTGCTCCTCTACATTGCTTTGATCCTGTCATGTTTTACTAATCTGTCTATTGAACTGCTGTGAAGCGAGTTTGGCTACAATTCTTGTAATAGGTGCTATAGAAATATAAAGCTTATTAATAATATTAATATTATATATAAATAAACTATATTTAAAATGAGTTACCTTTTAGAGAAGTGATTATATTTGTATGCCAATATTTTCCTATGGTAAAGTTTTCGTTTTGCACTTTTATTTTGATAGTAATAAGATCGGGACTCTTATTTTGAAGGAACTTTTACCAGTTAAATCAGTTTACAAAGATTAAGCCCCAGAAAGCACATGGCTACTTAACATGCAACATGACATCATTGTGCATGCTAAGTAGCCATGTGCTTTCGTGTTATTGGCTGAATCTGTATTTATTGATTAGATCACGATAGTGTTCAAGACAGCCTATATGTCTGAACTCGATCCTTAGAGTAATGTGTTACGGAGCCTTCTCTTCAATATTGTTTCCTAGGGATGTAACGATACCAAAAACTCACGGTAAGATAATATCGTGATAACAAGTCCACGGTACGGTATTTATGATTTGTACAGCATTTTAGTAGGTATTATTAGTAGTATTTTAAAGTGTCAAAAACAAAGTGACAGTAACAGACTGGAACAAGAAACCCAGTGTGTTTGTACCTACTAGTACTACCAAACAAAGTAGGCATTTTCTTTGTGCCACTGCATCTCACAAATAAACAAGGACATTTAATAATCAGACCCTGCAATAAAATAAATCAAGTTTCACTTTAGTTTTTCAAGTAACTCAACTCAAACTCACTAAGTCACTCACTCAGCATCATCAGACAGGTTTTTAGGAATATGAGCATGTCCACATTTCCAGGTATTTATAAGCTGGGATGTTTTGGCATTTACAAAATCCCCTGCTCTGGAAAGAACTCTCTCGCTTGGTACTGATGTTGCTGGGACAGCAGTGGTCGCGTTAACCGAATATTTTATTTATCAATGACGGAAAAATCTGAAAGCAGTCCGTCATTTTGACAGATTAGAACTAACTCGGAACAGCGCCAACGTTTCCCCGCAGCGAGGCTCTGGTGTTATGCCGTGTTATGCATGCCCTCCAAAAGGAAGTGATATAGTTTCCAAACCGTACTTTGCCGTACAGATCAACACATGTCTGGGAGGTTTTGCTTTACGCTGTGCGCGCTCCCGCGAGGTGCATGCACACACGGCATAACACCGCCCCCCCCCCCCCCCCCCTTTGACAGTTCACGAGCGTGCTCTCTCGTGAACTGTTCAGACCCGACGGGTAATAAGGGATTATGACGGACATTTTACGATCCTGTCACCTCAGAGGGACGGAGAGATATGCTTTGGCCATGGGTGACAGCAGTGGGTCAAACTGTGCATTGTCTCTCCACCTCTTCAAAAACAATGCAGTTGTTGCCAAGAAGGTGAGGCTTATTGACAGAGATATAAATATCCTGTTGGTACTTGTCAATGTCTCTAGGTGTGTACATGTAGCCCTGTAAATACGATGTCCTTTTGTGTTCTGTTGTTTTATGTTCATGTTGTAACCTACTTGCTGCCATGTTGGACAGGTCTCTCTTGAAAAAGAGATCGATGATCTCAACGGGACCATCTGGTTAAATAAAGGTTTAAAAAAAAAAAAGTGTATAAAAAAAAAAAAATTCGCAGTAGATTTTATCAGTCTCACGACGGTATTGGGACGTTTATTTACCGCGATATTCGGTATATCGTTACATCCCTATTGTTTCCACATAACGAGCATTTTGTTCTTTCCCAATGTGGAAGCAGAATGTGTGAAAGCATACAGCACGATGCTGGGTGTGTCTCTAGACATCTCTAGACTGGAATAGCGGGGCCCAGTCCGTGAACTCGCCTCACAGGTGCACACGCCAGGATAGAGGACATCGGACTCCAGAGAAAACTTGCTCGAGTCCGAGTCGGAGCGTCAATGTACGAGTCGAGTCCGAGTCATCGTGGGGGGAAAATTCACGAGTCCGAGTCAGCGTACGCGAGAATTCACGAGTCCAAGTCGTGTCAATCAGTGCGCGAGTCCGAGTCGAGTCACGAGTCCCGAAAATCGGCACTGGAGTCCGAGTCCAGGACTCGAGTACTCCATCTCTGATATATATACTATATATACTTATACACGCTCCTCTCCAAACACCAGGTATATATATATATATATATATACTTATACACGCTCCTCTCCAAACACCAGGTATATATATATATATATATATATATATATATATATATATATTAGGGCTGTCAGTCGATTAAAATAGTTAATCGCAAATGTTTTATCTGTTCTAAATGTACATTAGAGGGATATTTTTCAAGATTTTAATACTCTTATCAACATGAGTGGACAAATATGCTTTATATGTGTGTTTATTATCATTTGAACAATGACAAATATTCTCATGAATATTAAACACAACAACCTCTGAACATTACAAATATTCGCCTCAATTCAACCTGGAACCTCGTGGTGTGTGTGTTGTGTGTGTGTGTGTGTGTGTGTGTGTGTGTGTGTGTGTGTGTGTGTGTGTGTGTGTGTGTGTGTGTGTGTGTGTGTGTGTGTGTGTGTGTGTGTGTGTGTGTGTGTGTGTGTGTGTGTGTGTGTGTGTGTGTGTTGGAGCTATGTGCAACTCAAGGCATATGCTCGAACGGGAGCTGCCTGGACGCTGCAATCATGTTGCGCGCACTATCCGTGCTGAGTGTGCTGACTTCTCGTGCAATGTCCCACTGTCTGGCTTCCTGCATAAAGTCAAGTGCTCGGCGAAATGTCGCTCCTCTGTTTTCATTGAAACAGCTCCTTATATCCGTTAGCGCAGCTAGCTAGCACCAGATGCTAACAACAGCAATACACGTAAGGTATGCCTCGCTCGCTCGTGCCACACATACACCCGGTCCTCCCGATGGCCAGTCGGTGCCTGCCGGTGAGCGTGGAAGTGTGGTCTGCCACAAGCGGGCGGCAGGAGCAGGGCTGTCAGCATCAGCTTGTAGAATGTATTTTAAACTTGATGCTCTCTGAAACTACGGTGCGGCCGAGGACAAAAAATACACATGCGTTAATCGCGTTAAAATAATTAGTGGCGTTAATTATTTTTTTTGCGTTATTAACGCGTTAACTTAACAGCCCTAATATATATATATATATATATATATACTATATACACGCTCCTCTCCAAACACCAGGTATATATATATATACTATATACACGCTCCTCTCCAAACACCAGGTATACATATATATATATATATATATATATATATATATATATATATATATATACTATATACACGCTCCTCTCCAAACACCAGGTATACATATATATATATATATATATATATACTATATACACGCTCCTCTCCAAACACCAGATATATATATATACAGTGGGGCACAAAAGTATTTAGTCAGCCACCAATTGTGCAAGTTCTCCCACTTAAACAGATGAGAGGCCTGTAATGTTCATCCTAGGAACACTTCAACTATGAGAGACAGGATGGGGGGAAAGAATCCAGAAAATCACATTGTAGGATTTTTAAAGAATTTATTTGCAAATGATGGTGGAAAATAAGTATTTGGTCAATAACAAAAGTTCATCTCAATACTTTGTTATATACCCTTTGTTGGCAATGACAGAGGTCAAAGGTTTCCTGTAAGTCTCCACAAGGTTTTCACACACTGTTGCTGGTATGTTGGCCCGTTCCTCCATGCAGATCTCCTCTAGAGCAGTGATGTTTTGGGGCTGTCGCTGGGCAACACGGACTTTCAACTCCCTCCAAAGATTTTCTATGGGGTTGAGATCTGGAGACTGGCTAGGCCACTCCAGGACCTTGAAATGCTTCTTACGAAGCCACTCCTTCGTTGCCCGGGCGGTGTGTTTGGGATCATTGTCATGCTGAAAGACCCAGCCACGTTTAATCTTCAATGCCCTTGCTGATGGAAGGAGGTTGTCACTCAAAATCTCACGATACATGGCCCCATTCATTCTTTCCTTTACACGGATCAGTGGTCCTGGTCCCTTTGCAGAAACACAGCCCCAAAGCATGATGTTTCCACCCCCATGTTTCACAGTAGGTGTTCTTTGGATGCAACTCAGCATTCTTTCTCCTCCAAACACGTCTAGTTGAGTTTTTACCAGAAAGTTCTATTTTGGTTTCATCTGACCATATGACATTCTCCCAATCCTCTTCTGGATCATCTAAATGCTCTCTAGCAGACTTCAGACGGGCCTGGACATGTACTGGCTTAAGCAGGGGGACACGTCTGGCACTGCAGGGTTTGAGTCTCTGGGTCGTAGTGTGTTACTAATGGTAGCCTTTGTTACTTTGGTCCCAGCTCTCTGCAGGTCATTGACTCGGTCCCCCCGCGTGGTTCTGGGATCTTTGCTCACCGTTCTTGTGATCATTCTGACCCCACAGGGTGAGATCTTGCGTGGAGCCCCAGATCGAGGGAGATTATCAGTGGTCTTGTATGTCTTCCATTTTCTAATAATTGCTCCCACAGTTGATTTCTTCACACCAAGCTGCTTACCTATTGCAGATTCAGTCTTCCCAGCCTGGTGCAGGTCTACCATTTAGTTTCTGGTGTCCTTTGACAGCTCTTTGGTCTTGGCCATAGTGGAGTTTGGAGTGTGACTGTTTGAGGTTGTGGACAGGTGTCTTTTATACTGATAACGAGTTCAAACAGGTGCCATTAATACAGTTAACGAGTGGAGGACAGAGGAGGCTCTTAAAGAAGAAGTTACAGGTCTGTGAGAGCCAGAAATCTTGTTTGTTTGTAGGTGACCAAATACTTATTTTACCAATTAATTCATTAAAAATCCTACAATGTGATTTCCTGGATTCTTTCCCCCCATTCTGTCTCTCATAGTTGAGGTGTACCTCGGATGAACATTACAGGCCTCTCTCATCTTTTTAAGTGGGAGAACTTGGTGGCTGACTAAATACTTTTTTGCCCCACTGTACATATACTAGGGCTGTACCCGAATATCCGAATATTCGTTCGTTTGGCACTGCGGCTGCCAAATTGAATTTATTGAAATCTCCAATATCAACATAAGAGCTTGTGCCTCTTCGGGGGGTGCTAACACTTAACCATAAACGTTATCGTTTACTTTCTCTGTCTTTGTATGTAGATATTACTTCTCTCCGTTAATCTCTGTCATGTTGTTTCCATAGCAACAACAACTTCCTGTCAACAGCGCTACCTCTCCTTCAAAATAAAAACAATAAAAACATAAAAACATGTCCATAAATCTGCTCAGTCATGCTAAGGTGTATCTGCTGAGTCATGCTAAGGTGTATCTGCTGAGTCATGTTAAGGTGTATGTGCTGAGTCATGCTAAGGTATATCTGCTGAGTCATATTAAGGTGTATCTGCTGAGTCATGCTAAGGTATATCTGCTGAGTCATATTAAGGTGTATCTGCTGAGTCATGCTAAGGTATATCTGCTGAGTCATATTAAGGTGTATCTGCTGAGTCATGCTAAGGTGTATCTGCTGAGTCATGTTAAGGTGTATGTGCTGAGTCATGCTAAGGTATATCTGCTGAGTCATATTAAGGTGTATCTGCTGAGTCATGCTAAGGTGTATCTGCTGAGTCATATTAAGGTGTATCTGCTGAGTCATGTTAAGGTGTATCTGCTGAGTCATGTTAAGGTGTATCTGCTGAGTCATGTTAAGGTGTATCTGCTGAGTCATGCTAAGGTGTATCTGCTGAGTCATGTTAAGGTGTATCTGCTGAGTCATGCTAAGGTGTATTAAGGTATGTTTCTGCCCCCCAGGTGACCCATGTGAAGGAGCTGCTGGACAGCTACACCCCGGGGAAGGAGAACCTGGGCGAGTCGTCTTCAGATCTGAAGATCCGTCTGAAGCTTTGCTCCCGGGACAAACCCAACTTTTACACTTTGTGCAAGAAGAACCGCCGCCGCCGGGGAGGGGGGGGGCGGGGCGTCCGCAGAGGCCCCGCCCCCTCAGAGGAGGAGGGGGCGGGGCGTCACGTCTGCAGCCAATGCGGGAAGCGTTTCAGCCACGCCTCCAGCCTGGCCCGACACCAGCTGACCCACCGGGGGGGGGGGCGGGAAACACCTGAAGCTGCCCCCCCCCGGCAGAACGAAGACCTTCACCTGCACCGCCTGCAGCAAAACCTTCATGCACTCCAGCAGCTTCTCCCGCCACAAGAAGGCTCACCTGGAGGAGCAGCAGCGCCACAAGAAGGCTCACCTGGAGGAGCAGCGCCACAAGAAGGCTCACCTGGAGGAGCAGCGCCACAAGAAGGCTCACCTGGAGGAGCAGCGCCACAAGAAGGCTCACCTGGAGGAGCAGCGCCACAAGAAGGCTCACCTGGAGGAGCAGCGCCACAAGAAGGCTCACCTGGAGGAGCAGCGCCACAAGAAGGCTCACCTGGAGGAGCAGCGCCGCAGGAAGAGGCCAGCGCTGGACGAGACGGCACCGCTGGAGTCCGACTCAGAGTGACAACCCCTGGTGACCCCCCCCCCCCCAGAACTGGACCTGCATCTCTGGTGTAAATAACAGCAGGACATCCATATATGGTCGTGTGGCAGTTTCCTTATATGGTCATAATGACGGCTCTTACGGATGGGTTAGTGCCCCTTCCCCCCCCAGGCGCCGCCCCCCCCACCTGTCTGTCAGGTTGCACAGTGACGCTGTTCTTCACTCCATTTCCCATCAGCCACCTGGGCTGAGCACGCAGAGCATTTTGGGAAACGGAGTCCCACAGAAAAGAGAACACATTTTAATTAGACTTTTCAATTGAAAACTACAAGCCCCGCCCCCTGCTGCTCCAATCCAATCAGAGCTTCTCTCCTGAAATCCTATTGGTCCACGAGGATCACCTCTATCATTATTTATTTTGTAGTCCCTTTTAGTTCTTTGGCTCTGTTCATACTGATTATTATTTCTGATCCGTTAATAATAATAATTCTGTTTTTGTAAGTTAGTAATAATATGAAAGTATTCAATTATAACTTTAATACCAGATGTTATTATAATTCATAATATCATCTTTGTTATCATCGCTCAGAGGGACTTTGATTGGTACACAGATGCAACGCTCCGATTGGTTCCCTGTTTAAAGCTTAGACGCTCTGATTGGTTCTCCACGTTAATGTTTGCATGAAGACTCCTCTGCAGCCGGTCGGCCATATTTGTAGTTTTTTAAGGAAGTCAAAGAGAAAACTGCACTTTATGATGAATTTGGAACAATGTTGTAATGTATGAATATTTAAATGTGACCCTCCCCTCATCATCAGACAGGAAACGACTTCAGCAGACAGCTTCCAAAGTAGTTTATTCAAATAAAAACCTGAAGAAAAAACTCTTAATTTATAAAAAAAATAAACAACGCAGATCTTTGGATTCCAACAAATGTGAGATTAGAGATGCTGATTGGACTACATTTATTATCAGTGGAACCAGTTAATGTGAGAACCTCAGCGCCTGGAGATAACGTGCAGAACATCTGCAGAACATCTGGAGAACATCTGGAGAACATCTGTTTCCAGAGACTCTATGACGCTGACAGACCCCCCCCCCCGCTGCACTTCCTGTTCCTGCGGACACTTTGTGAGAGACTTCTGTGAATTGGGTTATCTTAATTTAATGTGATATATTTATAGTGTGTAGGCGGCAGAAACACCAGAGGAGGAGAACCAGGTTTATGTTCCTCGGTTGAAGCTGCCCCCCCCTCGTTGTGTTTCCTCGGTTCTCCTGCTGATAGAGCGTTCGTCGTGGTTCGTGTTTTGCCAATAGTTAAACACCCGTTGACATGTTTTGTCTTGCGTTTTGTAATAAACCTTCAAAATAAAGTCTGTGTTTGTCTTTAGTCCAGTGTTACCGGACTGTCTCCACCAGAGGGCGACACACATCAACGCACAGCAGCACTGAATCCTTTCAGAACACACTACAGTCCTATAAACACCACAGAAGAAGATGTTGGCAGCACTTCCTGTGTGCGGCAGCAGGGGGCAGCACTCAGTCTCCCTGAGTACAGTTGGGGTCACAGTGTTACTCAATGACGTCATGGTATAGCTGAGGAATGAGATGTGATACCAATTCATGATAAAGTATGTATTTGAGTCATACAAAATATATAGTATAGTATGTTGAAAAAAGGAAGTCATAGTATATTGTTTAAAAATTAAATAAATTCAGAGTATAGATAGTGTGAAGCTGACCATTGAGCGGCCCGGCCAAGCAAGGAGGCAGAACGTCCATATACAACCCGGTCTCAGCTCTATCCTCCCTCTGTCCATGTGCACCGCCCTCTGTCCATGTTCACCGCCCTCTGTCCATGTTCACCGCCCTCTGTCCATGTTCACCGCCCTCTGTCCATGTTCACCGCCCTCTGTCCATGTTCACCGCCCTCTGTCCATGTGCACCGCCCTCTGTCCATGTGCACCGCCCTCTGTCCATGTGCACCGCCCTCTGTCCATGTGCACCGCCCTCTGTCCATGTGCACCGCCCTCTGTCCATGTTCACCGCCCTCTGTCCATGTGCACCGCCCTCTGTCCATGTGCACCGCCCTCTGTCCATGTTCACCGCCCTCTGTCCATGTTCACCGCCCTCTGTCCATGTTCACCGCCCTCTGTCCATGTTCACCGCCCTCTGTCCATGTTCACCGCCCTCTGTCCATGTTCACCGCCCTCTGTCCATGTGCACCGCCCTCTGTCCATGTTCACCGCCCTCTGTCCATGTGCACCGCCCTCTGTCCATGTTCACCGCCCTCTGTCCATGTTGCACCCGCCCTCTGTCCATGTTCACCGCCCTCTGTCATGTTCACCGCCCTCTGTCCATGTTCACCGCCCTCTGGTCCATGTTCACCGCCCTCTGTCCATGTGCACCGCCCTCTGTCCATGTGCACCGCCCTCTGTCCATGTGCACCGCCCTCTGTCCATGTTCACCGCCCTCTGTCCATGTGCACCGCCCTCTGTCCATGTGCACCGCCCTCTGTCCATGTGCACCGCCCTCTGTCCATGTGCACCGCCCTCTGTCCATGTGCACCGCCCTCTGTCCATGTGCACCGCCCTCTGTCCATGTTCACCGCCCTCTGTCCATGTTCACCGCCCTCTGTCCATGTTCACCGCCCTCTGTCCATGTTCACCGCCCTCCAGTGCAGGGTTTCCGCTAGGATTTTTTCTCGCCGGTCAAATGTCCGGGCAGAATTTATTTTACCGGATACATTTGAAACTTACCGGTCATGTTTCAATAATAATAATAAGAGTTGTGTAGCAGAGTTTCCGTTAGCAGGTAATTACCGGACTATGAGCAGATATGCTGATGTTTAAAACTCAGTTCACGGGGCTCATTTTTATATTGCTTCAGTTTATAATCGTAACAGATCGAAAAAATTCAGATTCATTTTTCAATAAATGATTCCACAAACAACAAACAACATAATTATTACATTCAAACAAACTACTTGTAGTAGATGAAGTACATTATTCAAAAGTTTACATCAACTTTAAATAATAACACGGGAGAAACGGATCTTCTCTTTCCCCTCTCCCTCCCTCTCTCTCTCTCTCTCTCCCTCCCTCTCTCTCCTGACAGCCCGTCAGTTTCTCATGCAGCTCCTGCAGCTCGCTAAACAGAGGGCGGGGCTTCAGGTGATTATGCAGAGCTGCGTGTCTCGGTCAGACTCAGCAGCTGATCTGATCTCTCTCTCGCGTCCGGTTATACTTCACTCGCGTTTATGACCATATCGATCTGATCCAGCTCTCCTGATCGGGCTTTATAGAGAGCACCGATCAAACTATTAAGAGTGAATATCGGCCGATAATGACCGGTGGCCGATCTATCGGAGCATCCCTAATTATTACCAGACATTTTGACCGGTATGTTTTGAATTTACCGGTTTTTAATACATTTTACCAGCTAAAAACCGGTAATTACCGGCTAACGGAAACCCTGCTCCAGTGGTGTAGTGGGCGTTGGACGCGGGGGTACGCCGTACCCCCACTTATTTGGAGCATGATCTTTTTTTTAATAGTCTAATAAATATAAAATCATTGCCAGTCTTATCAGTTGCAAGTGTGTTTGTTGTAATAATGACAAAAACATAATACATTTCACAGTAATGGCCTATAATAAAAAATAAAAACGATTTCCTTCAAAAATGATGATTCGTCATCACGCTGGTGACCCCGCAGCGAGCTGGGGGTGTGTCAGTGACACACCCACGGCCAGCTCACCGCCCGCCAATTTTGCGGCAGCTCTCCCTCAAGAACGCTAACGAAAAAGCTCTATAATGGAAGGAAAACGTTTTGTTATATGACTTGTTTTCTAAAAAGAATATAATTCACAAGAAGAAAGAGGCAGCAGCACCGAAGCTACAAGTGAAGCTGCTGCTCGCACTACATCATCAGAAGAGCCGCCTAAAGACGTGGATAATGCTAGCTAACGTGCACGTTAGCTGCGCTAGCAACGTTCCCCTGGCTAGCTCAAGCTCACCTTTCCCAGAGGTAAGGACGGAGGACATGTGGCAGAGGAAACAAGAGGCATACCCGTGGATAGACTGCAAAGCTGGGAAACTGGGCTGCTGTTCATCCATTTCGGATTGATCAGTCTTCAAAACGCAAGGTGTGTGTGTGTGTGTGTGTGTGTGTGTGTGTGTGTGTGTGTGTGTGTGTGTGTGTGTGTGTGCGCGCGCACAGCAGCGCTGTCTGCTTATTTGCAATGTAGGCGAGGCCTAATCAGAATAATTTCAAGTCCAGATTCAATGTTGTTTGCATAAGTATGCTATATTTTTCGTTTCGTTTATTTAATAAGTTAATTTCAGGACAACTTTGAGAATTTAGTTTGTTTGTTATGAGTTTTAAATAGATTTTGAAAGTGGAGATAGAGAGAATCAGCGCTGTCTGCTTAGTTGTAGCTTATGCAATTTAGTCCTATAAATTGTTGTAACTTATGTGCCAGTGTGTCCATGGTTTTGAGTCTATGTGTGTGTTGAGCGCAGCGCCGTCTGCTTTTTGAAGTACAGTAACTAAAGTAGGACTAAGCATACCGGTAGTTTTTGTGGACCTGTCTGCCCGTTTTGTGAGTGCACTGCGCACATGCGCACTTGTGTGGCATTGTTTGGGATGACCTAATTAAAATAGCGTCCCCCCAGTAAAAAAATCCCCACTACACCACTGCCGCCCTCTGTCCATGTTCACCGCCCTCTGTCCATGTGCACCGCCCTCTGTCCATGTGCACCGCCCTCTGTCCATGTTCACCGCCCTCTGTCCATGTTCACCGCCCTGTCTCCGACTGAAGACTGGCTCATTTATGGAGGATCTTCCAAGGATGTAATTGGGAGAAACCATTACCAGGTAACACGGAGGTTTCTCCCTGAAGTCTCTGCAGCTCTCTGGACACCACGCTGTCTCAATCCGTCTCAATCCGTCCATCACACGGAGGTTTCTCCCTGAAGTCTCTGCAGCTCTCTGGACACCACGCTGTCTCAATCCGTTCATCACACAGAGGTTTCTCCCTGAAGTCTCTGCAGCTCTCTGGACACCACGCTGTCTCAATCCGTTCATCACACGGAGGTTTCTCCCTGAAGTCTCTGCAGCTCTCTGGACACCACGCTGTCTCAATCCGTCCACACTGAATATGAGAGGGGGAAAATGAAAATAATAAATGCTTTAGACAATAAGAAACATAAAGTTGACATTACATGTTACTTGTTAGACGCTTTTATCCAAAGCGACTTACATACTCAATACTGTGGGCAATCCCCATAGGAGCAATTTGGGGTGAAGTGTCTCAGAGACACAACGACATGCTGACTGCAGTGGGGTTTGAACCTGTGACCTCCTGATCCGAATACCAACTCACAACCCACTGCACCACACGCCTTGACTGTTGAGTTGCTCAGTTTTTTTAGATTATCAATACTATTACTGTATAACTAATATCTCAGGTTAAGAGGCACATTCAAATAAAGATTGGTCTTTAAATACATGTTGTCTTTTGAATTGTTTTTCTAAAGTCAAGGATCTAGAACTGGTACTTAGTTTTAATGATACAGTCTGGTTATTATGCTGTTTGGAGGAGGCCTCACAGGTAAGAGCACTAACTAGCTACCATCACATGTACCTTAGCTTGACTTAAATGTATTAAACGTATAGTTAAGTGATATCAAAATATAAATAACTAATGTCATGCAAACATATTAACATTTGCTTGATTCCAGAGTTGAATTTAGCACAATTGCATACAAACGTTAAGGGGTTTTAAGATTCTGAAGTATTATGCTAAAAGCTCAATAACTTAGATTATTATTTATAGTTTTGCTGAATAGTTTCATGTCCGCTTACCTTAGAAACGTAAAATGCGACGGCAGCGTGCAGATGGGGAGCATGTTAGCTTAGCTTGGTAGCTTCAGCTAGCTCTGGAACTTCCAGCTCGGTGGCAGCAGGTCCCGCCTCGGCTCCGCCTCTTTGCCCTTATTTGGAGCAGGCTGGAGAAGGCGGGAGTTGAACTCTGACGTCACAGTCGAGCCGTTAGTGGCCGACTCCGCCTACTAAGGGCTTCTCGGCAACTCTGCAGAATCCTATGGGTGACGTCACGGACCCTACGTCCATTTATATATACAGTCTATGGTTTTGTCCCACATGGCTCTAAACAGCTCAATAGCCACACACTGTAGACACTAATTAGAAGAACACAGACTAAAACAGCAATGTACAGACGAATCAGATGATTAAACATGATCTTAAAATATATTTTATATATATTTTAATTTATTTTTTGCATTTTGTTGTAATCATTATTTTAATACTTTCTGCTGACACTAGGTGGGGCTGATACTCAACTATATTTA